GATTTATATCCTCCTTGGAATTATCCCTTCCAGTCACCAACTGGTAAAATGTATAATTATACATACATACACACACATATATATATATATATATATATATATATATATATATATATAGTTTACAAATTAAAGATGTAGGTAATAATCAACTAATTAAATGGGAGAAAAGTATATATAAAAGTGTTGAAATATTTTCAGCCCGGCCAATTTCCTATAATCTGACCAAATGACTAAAAGTTGTGCGGGAAAAGGGTTCTTCTTTGCGCTGAGAATCTTTTCAGCACCCACTGGTATTCGTGATTCATTTTTGCTGTAAAAAATTGACACTTTTTTTTTTTAATTGAGGTATTTTACCTCTTGACTGAAGTAAATTCAAGATATATTGATGTTTGTGTCTGTTTTTGGAAAGATGAAACTATATGATTATTTCATAACTACATGAAAATACATCATTTCACACTTGACTATGACTACGAATATTAGGTTCTTCAAATGAATACCAAAATAACTTTTTCATCTAAGTGAACGGGGATCAGTGTTACATATTCTTTATGATTTGATAAACACAGATAATTTTCAGCATGACTGTACAAGGTGTACACGACTTGTACAGACAGGAAATAAATCAATTTCAACATATACCGATATTGTAAAGTCAGTGCAATAAGTGTAATTATTATATATATACATATATATTAATTCCACTTTAATGAGCCAAATGATAACACACACCCACAGCAATACACACGCTTACACATATCATACTCACTCACTCCCTAAGAACCAAATAACACACACACTAACACTAAACAAAGACACATCCCCTCTCCAGGAACCAATAAAACTGTCAAAATGACCACGGAAATTCAGAGCAACATGTATCTGTCCAGCTCTTATCTCAAATAACAACTTAAAAAAGACTGTTTGACCAACACAAGGAATGTTAAAAGATTCATGTTAAAAAGATTAAAAAAAAATAAAAAAAACAAATGAAAACTACAGACAAAAGTTCATTTTCTCCATCAAGACATTCATTTCTGTAGTTTACTGCTACAAGCAAGCAGAAATATTTCTCGTTCCGAAGATGGCCATTTTAGCCGAAACTAGTCGAGAAATGTAAATGAAATAATAATAATAAAAATGAAAGAATATTAATCTACAACCCAGTGTGTCTGAAGATTTTAATTTTTTAATATTTTTTATTGTTCAAAAAATATATATATATATATATATATATATATATATATATATGAAGAAATATAGTTTTAAGGTTTGGTATGTTTATGAATAAAGTGCTCAATATCAGAGATAGAGCGTATGTAAAAAATATAAAAGTGGACATTGAAGTCAGGCCTGACGATTGCACTTAGCATGAAACACCCTGCCGCGTCTGGAATTAATATATACAAAAGTAAGAGCTTATAGTAGTTCCAACGAGAGAAAAGTGTGTGTATATTAAAAAGAAGAGAGAAACCGCAAACGTTTCTGGTGATAATATGAATTTTTTTTTTAAATGTTATGCTTTATTTTCCATAATTTTGCTTTGGAAATTTTTCTGTTATGGAAAATAAAGCATGATATTTTTTTTTTAAAATCCACATTACAACCAAAAACATTTGCGGTTTCTCTCTTCATTTTAATATCTGTGTGTGTGTGTGCGTGCATGCGCGCGTGTGTGTGTGTGCGTGCCTGTGTGTGTGTGTGTGCGTGTGTGTTTGTGTGTGTGAGCGTGCGCGCGCGAAAAGACCAAAATATCTCAGAAGCGTTAAGAATAAACACGCACCCATTTTGAAAATACGCGAAGAGTGTTAATAGCGCTATTAATTGGTAAAAACAATGAACGTTATTTTTATGTGCTCATATATAATATGAATGTGTGTGTGTTTGCGTTGAATGCTTACTCGTTGTACGAGAATGGTCACCAAAAGCCCCTCCTTTCTCCTTTGAAAACCTGACAGATAGATAGTTAGAAATAAAAGGCCTGAGATAGATAGATAGATAGATAGATAGATAGATAGATAGATAGATAGATAGATAATGAACAGAATTAGATAGATAGATAGATAGATAGATAGATAGATAGATAGATAGAAATAAAAGGACTGAGATAGATAGATAGATAGATAGAAATAAAAGGACTGAGATAGATAGATAGATAGATAGATAGATAGATAGATAATGAACAGAATTAGATAGATAGATAGATAGATAGATAGATAGATAGATAGATAGATAGAAATAAAAGAACTGAGTTAGATAGATAGATAGATAGATAGATAGATAGATAGATAGATAGATAATGAACAGAATTAGATAGATAGAAATAAAAGAACTGAGATAGATAGATAGATAGATAGATAGATAGATAGATAGATAATGAACAGAATTAGACAGACAGACAGATAGATAGATAGATAGATAGCCTTGTCTGACATTGCGTTACATGAAGTTCGTATCGCGACTGTCTTCCAACTCTAACTTGTAAGCCAACATTTCAATTTCCCTCTTTTGCGAAAATTCGAACACCGACCTCTGATTCCAGCGAGCTCACTCATCGACCTGGCCGTGCATTCATATAAAACTTAATCCACGTCGCACTCAAATTCTCACCTTCATTAGTAAACACCCGCCCTGCTTCACAACATTCACTCTTCCAAAAATTCAACTCTCTCTCAACACTCCGCACCTCCCTGGCATGGCCATCTAAGTACGACAAATTTTGTTCGTTCCTTAATAACGAATTTAGCAGAAGCCAATTGGTAAGTAATTGCAGCAAAAAGTCGCTGACATCCGCTCTTCTACTGGTTTGATTAATTTGAACTCAGAAGCTGAGTGACCCAGTCTCCGCATAATCGATTTGCACATGATAACAATCCTTGGGAAGAACGCCATCTGTTGGCGTTCCAGTACAAAGCTAAATGAATTTCACTTCCACGGTGAATCTATCTATCTATCTATCTATCTATCTATCTATCTATCTATCTATCTATCTATCTATCTGTCTGTCTAATTCTGTTCATTATCTATCTATCTATCTATCTATCTATCTATCTATCTATCTATCTATCTATCTATCTGTCTGTCTAATTCTGTTCATTATCTATCTATCTATCTATCTATCTATCTATCTATCTATCTATCTATCTATCTGTCTGTCTAATTCTGTTCATTATCTATCTATCTATCTATCTATCTATCTATCTATCTATCTATCTATCTATCTGTCTGTCTAATTCTGTTCATTATCTATCTATCTATCTATCTATCTATCTATCTATCTATCTATCTATCTATCTGTCTGTCTAATTCTGTTCATTATCTATCTATCTATCCATCATCTATCTATCTATCTATCTATCTATCTATCTGTCTGTCTAATTCTGTTCATTATCCATCCATCTATCTATCTATCTATCTATCTATCTATCTATCTATCTGTCTGTCTAATTCTGTTCATTATCTATCTATCTATCTATCTATCTATCTATCTATCTATCTATCTGTCTGTCTAATTCTGTTCATTATCTATCTATCTATCTATCTATCTATCCATCTATCTATCTATCTATCTATCTATCTGTCTGTCTAATTCTGTTCATTATATCTATCTATCTATCTATCTATCTATCTATCTATCTATCTATCTATCTATCTATCTGTCTGTCTAATTCTGTTCATTATCTATCTATCTATCTATCTATCTATCTATCTATCTATCTATCTATCTATCTATCTATCTATCTAATTCTGTTCATTATCTATCTATCTATCTATCATATCTATCTATCTATCTATCTATCTGTCTGTCTAATTCTGTTCATTATCTATCTATCTATCTATCTATCTATCTATCTATCTATCTATCTATCTATCTGTCTGTCTAATTCTGTTCATTATCTATCTATCTATCTATCTATCTATCTATCTATCTATCTATCTATCTATCTGTCTGTCTAATTCTGTTCATTATCTATCTATCTATCTATCTATCTATCTATCTATCTATCTATCTGTCTGTCTAATTCTGTTCATTATCTATCTATCTATCTATCTATCTATCTATCTATCTATCTATCTATCTGTCTGTCTAATTCTGTTCATTATCTATCTATCTATCTATCTAGCTATCTATCTATCTATCTATCTATCTATCTGTCTGTCTAATTCTGTTCATTATCTATCTATCTATCTATCTATCTATCTATCTATCTATCTATCTATCTATCTATCTATCCAGACCTGTTATATTTTTATGCAAAAATCTACAAAATACAAGGCTCGATAGCCACTCAAGGTAGATGGATCGTGTTAAAATGTTAATGATGAATATGGTGTGTGATATAAATGAAAGAGGGATGGTAGGAAAAGAAGATTATGAGGATAAGGAGGATAGATAAAGATTTAACCACGCTTCGAAGATACTATTTCTTTCCTTCATCCATTCTTTCTTTCTTCTGTCAAGCTGTCTGGTCTGTGTGATGATTGCTGTGTGTTTTTTGTTTTGTTTTGTTTTTTTTGGGGGGGTCACCGTTGCCCGTTTTAAGCTTATTTATAAGCTAACCTTCCAAGTGTTCATTTTCAAGACAAGTAGAAACTTTGCTCTTACAAGTTTGGTTTAATTACTAACTTTGGGGAGAGAAAAAAGTGATATTATTTGAAAATATAGTGGCAAATACCTACGACTGCACTTTGAAAATTTCATTTGATTGATTCGCTTTTTACGGTTTATCAACCCTTTGCAGGTTATTTAAAGCCAGAAAATAGTTTTAGATAGTAAGAAACTCTTTTGAGATAATAATAATAATAATAATTTATTGATACAAGACCGATCAATTAATCCATAGCTGGCAGGAGAAGAGACGAATTCATACCTTTCCTAAGGGTATTGGCGAATAGTGAATATAATGAACTTAACTGAATAACGAACACAAATGGAATTGAAACTCGGCTCTCCGATTAACAATATCGAGCCATTATCCATTACACCGCCTGCACATCCAAGCACTTGGCATTCCCAAACGGTCACCCATCTACGTACTGACCAAGCTCGACATTGCTTAGTTTTGGTGATCATACAAGAACCGGTGGTTCAACGTATTGTTGCTGTAAGCCTCAAAATGTTCAGTTCGTCATCTGGCATATGACTAAAATTTTACTGTCTCATGGTATGTTTTATAGACGCGGTATTTTGAATTTAAAAATGCATGTAATGCGCTAAAATGTACAGTCTATACTAGCTGTCTTAGAATCAACCGATGGCGTTACTTTCAGAGAATGTGATACATATACATATATATATTAAAGACATTTTTATGTTTAACATTCTTTTTATAGATACAAGTATTTAAGTAAATGCTCTGTTTATAATAAACAGTATTAAATAACATTTACCGACCTGAATGTCCGAGAAATTTTCATAGAAAATATTCGTCTTTAATAAATTGTCGGACTTTGCCCATTTCTTATATATATATATATATATATATATATATATATATATATATATATATATATATATATATATAATTAAATGATGTTTATATTAGGAGTCGTAAGAGCAACTGAAAAGAAACAAAACACTAGTGAAAATTGTTAAATTGATATTATCTGTGGGTCATCCGGAAATGTCTCAGCAATAATATAAGTCCCTAATGATTAGAAAAAAAAAGAGTTACGGTCAAATCACGCAGAAATACCGGTTCTCGTTTGATCGTAGCAGTTAAGCAGTCTCGATCCCGGTCAGTTCTTTGATTGGGTTCATTTTGGTAAACACCTGGTATTGTAGACGAAATTGGATAAAAACTCGGTTAGGCAGATCGCATAAAATCTTAATTGTTACGGAAACTACAGCAGTAACACAGTGACCTCCATGCTCCTCAGCGCGGTCTACGACACTAAAGAACAAGGAATAATTCCACCGAGCCACACAAAAAAAAAAACATCAAACAATTTTCATTTTTCATTAAAGCATATCCCTGAAGACTAAAGGTAAACTCGGAAGTTAAGATCCCACCCCAATACAAAAAAAAAAGAAAATTCAGAGTCATCTCAGTGATAATTGCATTCTGCTTTGTGAATTAACTGGTTACGTATTTTCCAAACGAGAGACGGAGATCAGTGTTTGAGATCCGATCAAAAGCAGGATTTTTAATGAGGACTTTCAAAAAAGATAAAAAAAAAAAAAGAAAAAAATACTCTTCAACTGAGAAAAAAGCATTACAATTACTCGAATTTTATCCTCACTTTGCCTTCTAACAATGTTAACTTTAGAAAGTTTACGACTCACTTACTAGCATCAATAGTCAGAATTCATATCCAGATAGGAGCCACCATTTTGAATGCTGATTTTCAAGGCTGACAAGATTTCTGAAATAGAATCATCCTATACTTATTTCTTCCCCAACCCCAGACCATTTGTCCTTTTACCGAACTAAGCTGGGTTACTTTCTGCCGCATGGGAATTAGTTTACCAGACATGATTCCATGTCAAGTTTAAGTAGTAAAAATGGAGAAAATCAACCGTGCGGAAAGTGACATCAGCGAGCCGGGTTCAAATTCCGACCTCGTATGTCTCGTAAACTTTTCGCACTAACACTAATAAAGAATATTAGTGCGAAAAATGTTTACCATAAAACAAAATTAAGAATGATAAAACAAAAAAACAAAGTCAAGAATCATAAAACAAAATCAATAACCATAAAACAAAAATAAAGTAAAGAAACATAAAACAAAATCAAGAACAATAAAACAAAAAAAAGTAAAGAAACATAAAACAAAATCAAGAACCATAAATCAAAAACAAAGTAAAGAAACAAAACAAAATCAAGAACCATAAAACAAAATCAAAATAAAGAATCATTAAACAAAATCAAGAACCATAAAACAAAAATAAAGTAAAGAATCATGAAACAAAATCAAGAACCATAAAACAAAAATAAAGTAAAGAATCATGAAACAAAATCAAGAACCATAAAACAAAAATAAAGTAAAGAATCATAAAACAAAATCAAGAAACATAAAACAAAAAATCAAAGTCAAGAGTCATAAAACAAAATCAAAAAAAGGATCTAGAATAAAATCAGAAAGAATTTGCAAAGATCAAGTTTGATTCTGTGCCTACGCCATTGATAAATGTGTAACACATTTTCTAAAATCCCTCGTACTACTTGTTTGTCAATGATGAAAGTACAGTTTCAAAGTTGACATTTGAAAAAAAGAAGAAAAAAAGTACAGATAACTTTTTAACACGTTGACTCCCACGCGACTCACTGAAGTGTTGTGGTGGTTGCCTACAAAGCCAACACGATCCTCCGGGTGTCATTTTCAAATTTCTTTTCTATGAGGATTATTGGGAGTGGGGTGCTATGATTGCCTGCTTGTGAGATCATGGCACACCAGAACCACATTTTTTTCTAAAAATTTTAAACATTTTTTACGTTTTTTGTTTTTATTTCTTTTTTCCTTTTGTAATTTCTACTATTGTTTTGTTTTTTGGTTTTTTTTTGTTTTTTTAATCATATTTTTAGTTTTACATACACACTCATGTACTCATGTTGGTCGGGCAGGTCTAAGGGTTGTAAAATAATCTATCAAACGACACACCGATGTGTCGTGGGTAAAAATACTACCTATTATATCCTTGCTTCATATATGAAACAATGTTACAACAAAGTGTCTTGTACCTAAATTATTTAAGATATGGTGTTGGCACCTTTGGACAGCAAGAGCCATGATTGCCTACATTCTAAAGAAATATGTCATTAAAAAATATGTTATAAAAATGTATCCCTCCGAAGCGAAATATCTGGGTTCAATAACATGTGGTGAACGGCCAAACAAATAATTTCTTTTTCCATGTCTATAAAAAAGTAATTGATTTGTTTTTCGCCATTGTCGATCGACTACGAATGTCGACAATCATTGAATGTTAGTGAGATGAACTGACGACGCCACACACACACACACACACACACACACACACACCAAGACACATATATACACAAAGTTATTATTCATTTGAAACAGCAGTTTACCTAAAATAGTCTAATAACGAAGGTCTTTCTTCAGACCCTTTCCTCGGTTTTACATGCTACTAACTCGAATTAAAAAAGAATAACGCCTGTTAATGGATTCAAGATGGATAGTGAATCCGTCGATATTGACTGATTTGTTTTTTACTGTTTATCAACCCTTTGTGGGTTATTTAAAACCGAAATATTTGGGGGATTGTAAGAATAATTCTTCTTTTTTTTTGCGAGTAAATATAATGTTAACAATTTTTTTTTAAATAAAAATTATTTTTCCAGACACAAATCTTACTATTTAACCCACAGCTGGGGGGAGATAAACTCATACTTTTCCAAAGGGTATTTGTGTTTAAGGGAATGTAAGGAACCCGACTGGAATTCAAACTCTGCTTTCCGATTTCTTATCCCGAGCTTCTATCCATTGCGTATTGATTGGTAATGTTCGAAGTCAGCTGGAACAAAGTTTATGAAACAATTCTCTATATTCATCGAACAGAGCTGTTTGAAGGTTTGTTTTTTTTTGTTTTTTTTTTTTGGCTTTTTTTTTTATGGCGTATCCCATCGGTACATAAGCGACCATGGATTTCTATAAATTCTTATTTTCTTTATTATTTTTGAATTGCGATGATTTCTTGGGAAAGATAGGGGTGTGATTTATCGTTGTCTTTTCCCCGGGTTTTGAGTAGAAATTTTTCAAGACTACCTGCCATTCATGGCTAAAGAGTTAAGTCTATCCTGTCTGAAGTCGAGCGACCGGCTGACCGGCTGATCGGTTGAACTCTCTGCCTTCGAGCGGGGAGGAACCCGAACAAGGCTACGCCGAAGGGCGGAGTTTCTTTCGGGGAGGTAAACCGACCCTGAACCCGTTTATACGGGTTCAAAGGGCATATTTTTTGACGATCCCACGGGCTCGGAAATCCCACGTTAAACCGGCCTTGTGCCACATGATGCCCTCGTTGGGGGTGGGGGATGACTAAATACCGTTCAGTCTATCCTGCTAAATAGCAAGTCGTTAAATAACCCGTAGCTTCTGAGAGAAGAAATGAAGCCATACCTTCTCCATGAGTATTAATGAGAATCAAACGCAAACAAAGAACTTGAAGTCAGCTCGTTGAGTCGATGTTCCAGCACGAAAACCATTATGTTACCCGTACATCGTTTTTAATATTAATCAGAGAAACCAAAGTTAGCGAATGTCAGAAGACTACGGTTGGTGCTGTAATGATTCTAGGCTATTTTATTGTGATACAAAATTTAAGAGTACATTCAATGAAAATTGAAATCCCCATATTCTCCATCGTCGGTAAAATCAACGAGTTCTGATATTAGATATCACATGATAAGAGAAATCAACAGAATCCGCTACGAGAATGCAACAGTGGGATATTGAGTAATTGCGAAAACAGTTTGTTAATCACTGCGCCCAATCGTAAAGAGTTTTCTATGTTTGGCTGGTGAGCAGAATCAACTTGTCCCTACGCTCAAACCCTAGCCATTTTTTTTTTCAGCTTTCGTCACAGATATTTCATACGCAACCTTTTTTTTTTTTTAGTGATGTCAGGCTGGTTTTACGTCAGAAAATACAGTATGAATCCGAAAGTGCGTGGTGTAATATAATTTAGTCAAACCTCATCCTAGACTGTCTTTACACCTCCCTGTACCCGACGTTTGGCTTCTCCACTCCCAACTAGCTCTGCGCTCCTGTTCCCACCCACCCTGAGCCAGAATTCCAAATACTTCTTGAACTTCTGAGATGGGGGTAGTAACCAGGTTGCTACTCCGCGGCCTCTCCTCTCTGACAGATGGTTCTCAGTGCGACTTCCACACACACACACATGCGAGTACGCGCGCATGCGCAAGCTGTAAGTTGAGTCAAGAAAGACAGAAAGAAGGAAGGGTAAACGGAAGAATTTTTTTTTAAATGAAGACAGGAAATAAATAACCAGAAATAACTCGTGATTATAAAGAGGATAAGAAAAAAGATAAAGAGGAAATATATTTTTTCGCTAATTGTTCATCCAACACAAGTTCCAAGAGCCACTCAAGGTAGATGGTTACTGAATGAGAG